GGAGAGTCAGAATTTCTTCTCAGGAGACCAGAGGATAAAGGCAGGGTCAGGAAGTCACACAACACACAGTGGAGAATTTTTCTGAGGCACAGTACAGGGAAGTACCAGTGAAAGGGACCCTGCAAACCAAACCGAAACATTTCTGAATGATGCCTGCAATTTTTAGACAGACCATACAGAGCAATGAGTACAGCTGGATTTGAACTCCAGTGACACTGGCATTTCTTTTTGTCATTTTCCTTTTGCCAGAGAAACCTTTGGCAAAGAAAATGTTTCTCCAGAAGAAAGGTACTGCGGTTGGCTTTTTGACAGCAAATTTCTATAAATACAAGTGAAGGAGACTCACTTTAATTTGACCGCATAGAATTACTCACTGAGACCTTCCTTCATTTCTTTTCCTGTGCTCTGAGTTGACATTAGTATATGACCCCGAAATCCTTTGCAACTGCAGATATTTCCCCATACTCAAGTAATTTCTGCACAGGGAAAAAAAAAATCTACTTGCTGTTTGAAAGAAACACATATACACACTTAAATAAACATAGACATCTTGTAAAGAACAACTGTTTCCCTATATTTTTATTATACCACTGCTTTTTGTAATCAAAAGCCTAAGATATTGTTTATTTAATGGCATGGTTATATGCACATTAAAAAAAAAGGAATGTTAGTCTTTTAATACTAAAGAAGTACAATGGGGGGGGTGTCCTTTGTGCTTGCCATTCATGCTATTTTTTGTTTAGAACTCTAAAAGACAAAAAGAAATCAAATTGTTATGAAAACTAAAAAAAAGTTTTCCTGTGGCCCAGTTTCATAAAGCTAGATATGAAAAAGTAATCATAAAAATATATCTGTTAGATTACAAGATGAAGAAATCTGGTTCGTTAGTATGAGAGCTAGCTATTTTGCTTACAAAAAGTAAAAAGCAGTGTAGTTGTTAATGTACATGTTTATGGCCATAAGCTGGTACAGCTTGATCTTTTTTGAGAACATACAGATTTGATACAGACCTATTTTGGGCAGGATGCTATCCTATTCTGTTAGGACTTGTTTTTCTCGTATTCCAATGGCTGATTAATTCTTGATTGCTTTTTTCCATCTGTGTGTGTGTCTTTCTGTGCATTTTTGTTTTGTTTTCTTGAATGGAAAAAAACCCTAAAAACCCTAAGCAGCGTTACAGCATCCGGTTAGACTCGAATACATAGTTAAAAGTTTTAGAAAGAGAAAAATTGCTTTTTTTTTTTTTTTTTTTTTTTTTTTTTTTTTTTTTTTTTTTTTTTTTTTTTTTTTTTTTTTTTTTTTTTTTTTTTTTTTTTTTTTTTTTTTTTTTTTTTTTTTTTTTTTTTTTTTTTTTTTTTTTTTTTTTTTTTTTTTTTTTTTACAATGCTGTAATCAAGGGGAAAAAACTGCAAGGAAAAGCAGATGCAGCTGAAAGAAGCAAAGCGTAAAGAGCATGAAACACGTTTTTGCTGTTATTGTTTTTTATTTCATCTGAGGATAATAATAGGTCATACCTAGATGATACTGAAACATGGTCCAAGGGACAGGAAGACATTTAATTAGTGAAAAAAAGGCCTCTGGCGGGTTAATTGACACACAGGTCTGTTTCCTAAAAGCCTTTTCAGACCCTCTTATTCTCAGGACAGCCTTCGGACAGAGCCTGGCTTGTTCAGATTGCAATAGGTTAATAACAATACTGAGAAAGACTAGCACTTTGCTGAAGATAATTATGCATTAGCTAAAAGATGGGGTTGTTTCATCCCATTGAAATGAACTCTGTGTAGCAGAGCGTTATCGCTCCACTCTACTGAAAGTAAACATTTCGGCATTCACAATGTTAGCTGTCAGCAGTGGAGAGTGGGAAGAGCGGAGAAAAGCCAGAGCCCACCATCAGCTCTGGATGGAGTACATTTCAGCTCTTCATTACAGTGATGGACAAAGATGCCAGCTTGGTTCTTCTGTGTTGCATGACCCGAGCTTCAGATACTGCCAGGCTTCTCGTGCTCAGCTGAGCGAAGGTTGCCAGGCTGCTCCTGCGCTTGCGTTTTTGATGTAGTTCTGCAGGAAGATTGGAGACATAAATAGCAAAGCTGGAGGTTTGTGAACCTACACAGGATAAACATGTCAGAGTGTGGGAGGGCAGATAGAGTCTTCCAAAAGTCATCTCCACTGGTAGTCCATTAATGAGGAACAATTTTCACTCCTGTTTGCTCCCACACCAAAACTCATGCACAGAAGGACTTGGGAGAGTTTCCTTTCCTTATGCACCAAATAGAGAGCGCTGGCGGAATTAGGTGCCAAATTAACTATTAAATGCCTTAATGTCTTTGTAGATCTGTTCCAAGGCTAAATTCTCCATAGGCTTCACTGACTTTCCTTAAACTTTTAGTGGCATGAAAATTATATACGTGCACATCAGAATCCAGAACACTTCCTGCCAGGTAGGTCTCTTAAGGCAAGCTACATCTTAGTTTCCGTACATGGTGGTCCAAGTAGTGATGTACCTTTCAAAGAAAGCAAATTTGCACATTGGGGTTTTTTCCTTCTTGCCATTGCTGCTGCTTTGCTCAAGCCATAGCTATTCTTCTATGGGTTGTCTTCCTAATGTCTCAGCCTGATCCTTTTGTGGAAGGATAGTATCAGGAATCACCTGCAACCATTGCCCTTAGGTGTGAGATCAAGCATATCCTGATGAGAGATTCCCAGGCAGCAGGGCTCTGGGACAGTATCGGTCTGATGGCTGGTTTCTTGGTAATAAGGTGAGGAGTTACAGCGGCACGGGCAGAGACCTTCCACTTACTTTGTGAGCTTTGGCTCTGGCCCACAGAGTTTTTTGTGCGGTGGTGTGAAAGCATCTTGGTTCTGTATCTGATGGGAGAGCCTGACAGCTTAATTATGCTGTGATAGGAGCAAAGCCCCTATAAACAAAATGTTTTGTCCTTTATGATTGTGACAAAAGTACTTATTTATGACCAAATTAGTTTGGTGAGGCAGATATAAATAAAGCTCCTTCTAGTCTTCACACCTATCAAAATTAGGAAGTTAAAGATAGGCTGAGCCACTGCACTAGTAAAACAAGATTACCCTTCCTCCCTGCAATACACTTAAAATCTTGACCGCAATTTCAATGGGACAAGTAATTTTTCTCTCCATATCAGCATGACCCCCTGGGAGACAGTGGGAGGTACATCATATGCCAATTGAAAGTGGAATACAAAAAAAGCTATAAATAAAAGGCACCACAACCTTTCATTGTGTTTAATACAAGGACCATAAACGCCGGCTCTGAGGATTCCTTTTCACAGGTTTTTTTTCCTGTTGTCATCTCTTTAGTCACTGTCTCAATCTCTTCTGAAGCGCGAAATGGGGAGGGTGCCTTGGCATTTTGGTTATTATATTGAGGTGACACAAGGCTTTATACTCAGTGTGATGACACTGCTCTTGCTGCCAGCAGTGCAGCAGCCCTTGAAACGTGTATCCAGTCACTCCCCGACATTTTGGGGAATGCTGTAGTTAGCGAAGAGGGCAAAAGTCTCATCACTCCTTTGCTGTTTTCTTTCACAACAGGGAAAAAACTGTGCATAAACACCGGAGAGGGATGAAGTTAGGATGTGGTGCTGTGCAGTAAACATTTCCTTGGCTCTGCCTAGCAAAAGACACCTGCGGTGAGCATGTGGGCAGAACTCTTTATAGATGTGCCAGGTTCTCAGCTTCTCCAGTGGTGAAATGGGGACCAGCTTGACACAGCCTCGCCACTCTTGAGTGGTATTTTATTGCTATAATTTAGCATAGATGAGCAAAATGAGGTTTTACATTGGTTCCTAATACGTATTGCATCCAGTGGGAGTCACACACCCCACTAGCATGGATGGACTCCTACATGCTTACAAGAGTTTTCATGAACTGTTCAGAGTCAAACTGGCTCACTGAATAAATATACACTTCCCTTAAATATACACTTGCCTTCCGCTCAAAGCCCCCAGAGCATTAACACTTTTATATGAGCATTTCCAGAAGAAACAGCACTAGCCCTGTAATTGTCCACATCAAAATCTGTTTATTTAAAGAAGCTGATCATTATTCAGCTGGAGTTACTAACAGTGATATAGCAGAGAATTGCCATAGTATTTGTGCTGTTGAATTAACAATCAAAGAGCAGCCATCACCAGCATTATTGTTTATTGCTGTTCCAATGTGCCAAGGCTGGCTTGTTTACAGGCATTGTAACTAAATAACCAGAGTTCTCTTTATTTTCCACTAAGTGAGTCTGCAGGGAAGAGCACCTTTTCCAGTGCCTTAGAAAGCTTGGGGAGGGCATCGTGGTCGTTAGTTGTTACAGGTGAGGTAATTAAAAATGCTTATCTCTCCGGACCTTCCCTCTATTCTTGTGGTACTTTTTCTTTTAGAAATACCTATATTTATCAGTACATTATATAAGCTTTTGACTATAGGGCTAGTGTGTTAATAAATGTTCACTGGAATATAAAAAATATTCTATATTCTGTGAATAATAGATTATAGATGATTCCAAGCACATAACAAAATTCTGTAGGTGTTTATGAGCCATTCATAAGCAATTTATTATTGATAAGGAAGGGAGGGAGGGATCACCCATTTATTAAAATCCATGAATCCTGTACTAATCCTTTCTAAAGGGTGTTAAGGGCTTGGTTAGAAATGAGGTGTGAGCCACTGGCCTTTCAGCAGTGGGCTGTCTGGCCAACAGCTGATACCATCACACCAAATTCTTGGCAGCCTCAGGATACTCCTGAGCATCGTTGACCTGCCCTGCAGCCAAACATGTAGCTAGTAGCTCTGGTTTTAGTTATCTGGTCCAGCTGCTCTTAGCACCGATGATTTTACTTTGATACCTCGCAATTCGTATCGATTTCACGTGGTTCTTTCCTTTAAGAACTGCCACTCTCTGTTTCTTTGGTTCGCTCCCCGACTAAATCTTTTTCTTCCCTCTTTTCTGTGTTTCCCGCTCCTCTTCTCCCCAGGGCGAATGCTCACGGAAGTGCTATGACATCTTTGTGCTGGAGACGGTGTGCGTGGCGTGGTTTTCATTTGAGTTCCTGCTGCGATCCATCCAGGCAGAGAACAAGTGTGCTTTCCTGAAAACCCCGCTCAACATCATCGACATCCTGGCCATCTTGCCTTTCTATATCTCTCTCATTGTGGATATGGTCTCCACGAAAAACAGCAGCAAGCCCGGTGGGGGAGCTGGGAACAAGTACCTGGAACGAGTGGGCCTGGTGCTGCGCTTCCTGCGGGCTCTGCGCATCCTGTATGTGATGAGGTTGGCACGGCACTCGCTGGGGTTGCAGACGCTGGGGCTCACCGTGCGCCGGTGCACCAGGGAGTTCGGGCTCCTCCTGCTGTTCCTTTGCGTCGCCATGGCCCTCTTCTCGCCGCTGGTGTACTTGGCTGAGAGCGAACTGGGAGCCAAGCAAGAATTCACAAGCGTCCCCACCAGTTACTGGTGGGCTGTGATCTCCATGACAACTGTTGGCTACGGGGACATGGTGCCTCGTAGCATCCCTGGGCAGGTGGTAGCCCTGAGCAGTATCTTGAGTGGGATTTTGCTGATGGCTTTCCCAGTCACGTCCATCTTTCATACCTTTTCCCGTTCCTACAGTGAGCTGAAGGAGCAGCAGCAACGAGCAGCAAGCAGGCAGATGCGCCAGCTAGAAGAGAGCACCAAACTTCCAGGTGGTGACAGTACACAGGGGCTCGGTGTCACATTCCCACCAGATGCTGCTGGGCAGAAGGGTCAGCCTGCGATGGACCAGGAAGCCAAGAGAAGTTGTTGACTCTGAACAGCTGAAGACATACATTCGCAGCACAAGAAGCAGTGGACAAGGCAGGTCAGTTCTGCGAGAAGAACCTCCTGAACTGCATAAATGAGGGGCAGACTCACACAAGGTTGTCTCTAAAGACGAACTTTTGATCTTAAGGGCCCTACGAAAAGTGCCCATAGAAACTCCACCAAGTACAGCTCTGCTCCATCGCTTTTTGTAGGGCTTTTCTTTTCTATTGAACAAGTGTTTTTGGCAACCCCGAAGGAGCAGCCATTGAATGTAGCCAGCCAGGAGAACGTAACATGAAGCACAGCCTGTGCCGGGGTGCCATTCGGCGGAGCAGCCAGCGTGCCGCCTCCTCCCTGCTCGGTGACACTCCATGTGCGAGGGGCTGAACGAGGGGGTTCCCTGTGCTGCGACACCCCACGCACAGGGGGGTTGTTTTAGCAGCTCCACCAAGAACACAAACCTCAGACAAGCCAAGGTGTGAGCGCAAGAGAAGGGCAGAAACATCCCTTCAGCTCTCCCAGGGGCTTGGTTTTTTTGTCTGTTTTACAGATCAGGCCTGGGCTGCCAGCTGCCAGCTCTGACTTGTGCGCTAGCGCAGTATGCATTATTTAGTAAATATGCTTATTTACCACCCTAAGCTTTGTATCTTAGCCCCATGACAGAAATATACATAGACAATCTTCCTGACTGTGGTACTGAATGTTAACTTGTTTTTTTTTCCTTTGCTAACAGTTGAATATAACAAATATCTTTACAAATCACGCCATTTCTCCACTTTCTGTTAACTATTTCCATTTCTCATGTGTCAAAAAAATGTGTTTAACAGACGACTAAACATGAACTACACGCAGCCCAAGAAGGAAAGGGTGATGTTAAACCAGCAGCAACTCCCAGCTCTGCATACTCTTCCTCAGCAGTGGTGGCCGCACTGACTGCAGTCATGTGCAAACAGGAGTAGTCCAAACCTGGTGAAGCCAATGAGACACCTTCAGTGGGCTCTGGCCCAAGCTGCAGCATAGCAGCTGTGCTCTACGTGAGGACTAGTCTTTCTTTTTTTTTCCCTACTAAGAAAAAGACAATACTGTCATCTAAAAATTAGAATTATTTTTCTGACTCTTCTTCCTAATTCTCAAAAGATTGAAGTCAATTTAAAGGGAAGACGAATCATATGGTGGCATCTGCATGTTTGTTTACTGATGCCAGCCCCACGAGCTCTCCAGCCCCCTCCCTGGAGGAGCTGTGTAGCTGGTCCAAGTCAGTGTGCTGTGTGGGTCTTTCAGTGCTCCTACAGGTGGGATACGATCAGGGGATGGAGGGAAATGGAGCACAACTGCATCTTGTACCTACGCCCCCATTTGTATTAAAGCCATGCAGTGCCACCCTCCATATTCTCCTCCTGCCAGGAAGGGAACAAAAGCTGATGTATTGAAGATGGGATTTGTCTGGTTTGGTTTTTTTTTTTTCCCTCAGCATATGTTGTAACACCAATCCTACATAGCAAACTCCCATATTAAGCCATTCCTTGTAGGAATGGAGCAAGGGAAAATAAAAGGTTACACTTTATTTTAATAAAAATTAGAAGCTTTGTTGCTGAATGCTCGCCTCTGATGATTTGGGTGCGGGGGGGAGGTGGTATTTCGCCGTGCTGATGCGAAGCCACACGTGCCGGTGCTCCAGCCGGGGTCCCATGCCACTGGCCCTCTCTGGCCCATAGCAGCCCTGATACTGCTCCTTTGCAGCCACAGCCAGGCCAGACAGCCCTGAGCAGCGCAGTGGGGTCACTGGGCCAGGTTACACAGCTCGGAGCAGCAGGTGTGTTACACACACAGCTCGCTGGTGAGTGCTGCAAGAGATGGAGGCAGCAAAACTGAGCCCCCCCCTACCCTGCAGGCTGCATCTGGGTCTCCAGATCCCCAGCTGTACTGAACTACAAGCAAACTGAACGCAGCCACACGTGCCAGGGCTCTGCCCGTCGTTCACAGCCCACCACCGAGAGCACATCCGCTCCTTGTGCCGGCCGAGGAGGGCCAAGGGCTGGTGGATGGCGCACGGACTGACTCAGACTCCTGGCAAAGCAATACCAGCACTGGGTTGCTATGACTCATGAAAGATTTTATTATTTTTTTAATCCTGATGCAGGCATTTCTTGCATTAAGGCTTATTAAGGTTTGGCATCAGGGATACAGCTTTGCAGCCAGCTAAATGCAAACCAGCAAAGTGAATAGTGTGTGGGGGCAAAGTGTGGCATGATGCTGAGGGGCAGCAGTGCATTTTATGGTGGCATTCGGGTGCTCAGTCTTCATGTACTTTGGTTCATGCAAACCAGGTGCTGTTTAGTGCCACATCTCTGGTGTGAATGCAGTGATCATGGCTAGTGTGCACGGAGGGTGCAGAATACATCTCCTCAAGGTGGTGAGGCCCACGAATGATCAGCAGCATTAGCTTACTCTTAGAAGAGCCATGTTGGAGTAGACATCCTTGCAGAATGAAGAGTTTCACACTTGCAGTGTTAGCAAATAACCATGAATGAATGCCACTTTTGGCCACGCAGCATGAAAAAACAGCACTGGGACAGCTTACTGCAGCTCAGCAGCTGTGTAGAAAAACGGATTGATGACACACGCTGTATTATTGCTGTGCTCCATCAAGTTGCTATTGTCCTACAATAGTGAGTTCTTTGTATTTTTCAAAAGGCACATAATTAATTCCAGCACGCACAGAGTTTTAATAAAGTGACAAAACCCACTCATTATGTCTGTTAGTCAAGGCCCAGCTTTTACTAGTTTCATTTTAGCTATTGAGATGACAGATGAGGAAACAAATATAAACCAGGAACCTTTTAAACAAATTATTTTTGGAAGCTGTATAAAGTTGTGATGTACACATCGCCAGGCATAAAAGCTACCCAGAGGAGAGTGAGTTTCACCCAGCATAGCTGTTGTTACAGGTGATGCTTATTACTTTTGATCAGCCGCTGGAGAAATGTTGGTTTTGTTGTGTATGCTTTTGTTGTTTTTTTCTTTGACACAGCACACACATTTATCTCTTAACTATAATAAATGCTACACTGCTGTCTGCATGCATGCCGGTGCCAGTGGGTAGTTATATCTGCTTCTTTGAAACACAATCTAGTGCTTCATGACTGTAGCACATTGGTTTTGCCCCAAGGAAGAAAAAAAATTCCTCTCTCCTATGGGACAGAGACTCACAACACATATGAGCAAAGCTGCCTCTTCTACACGGCTGCCTCGGTTGCAGCACACGTGGACCTGGATGTACAAATTCTGGCAGTTGGCAACAATAATCATCTGAAAACCATAACTACGTTTGAGAGCTAAGGATGCGGTAACTGGTAAAGGGACAGAGTTAGAGGGAACGGCACAAAGTCAAACACGACTCCTTCTGCTCATACAGCACAGGTGCACAGCCATCTCCTACCTCATAGCAATCTCAATTAAGAAAAAGCACTAATTGTAAGAAAAACATGACACTGGTATCATCCCCTCAGCAGTAAGCCGGACAGAGGTTGCTGTCTCACACTGATGAGGCCAGAAGAGGCACGGTCTATGGCAGCCTCACAACAGATGCTTCATGGGGGCAAAGTATCCTCGGCTCTCACAGGGCCTGGCGCCTACAGGCTACAGCCTTAGAAGAGTATGAAGCCTTGGGGCGGAAGAGGAAAGAGGCAGATGGAGGGGCTGATGGGTAGAGAAATCCAGTGTGGTTCTGCTGGCCCATCTGAGGCTGAGCAAAGCCCCTTGGTCTCCCAGCACAGCTAAGCTGACTCCACGTAAACTGGGGCAGGATGGGGTCTGAACTCCTAAGTCTGTGTTTGCTGTCAGGGCATTTCCAGATGCTGACATCTGCTTGGGACCTGGCTGCTTTACAAGGCTGTTTCCAGGGAGATCTGCCCCTGCTCCAGGGTGTGCCTCACATTTTGTTCTAGTCCACGTCTCTTATTTACTGCTGTTGGCACAGGTATCCAGGCAGTGTGTTCATTGGCATATTGTTGATTTACACATTAATGTCTTCCTTCTGTTACAGAAAGCCACCAACAAAGCTACAGCTGCCAGTCAGGTCCTTGAAGCCTTCTTGGCACTCAAGCCTAAGCTAAGGATCACAACCAAATTTAACAAACAGCATCTGTGGGCCATCTTTTGCTTTACTGCCCAGTGCCGAATTTGAGCTTTGCCTTTTGTCTTAAATTGTTTTTAATTGCATCTAACTACAGATGTAGATACATGCACCCAAACATCTAACCATGAAATCTCTGCCCTGTGGAGCCACAGCACAGAGTGCTGCCTGCCCTGCACGACCCAGGGAGAGCTTTGCCCTGAGGCCAGGGCCAGTGCTGCACCAGCCAGCAGGACAAGGGCCCTGCTGCTGCCCTGGCTGCTGCAGCATCTGGAGGTGGCTGTGAGAGCTCCTACTTACTGAAGGGGCTCCCCATTGTTTCATTTAGAGCCAGTCCCACCATTAGCTTCCCCTTAGTGAGTGCCAGAGCAGCAGCCAGTAACACCAGTACTGTTTGGGATAGGTGGTGCAACCACTATGGGTAATAAGCAGGCTCGGCTGTTGTGGGAACTGCTTGGGCCATTGCCCTCCATGGTCTCCACTGCCCACAGACTGGAACAGAGCAGGCAGATTTTACTCCCCACCCTTGTTTTCCTCCTCCTTTAACCCCACTTCACTGATTTACCTACCTTTGCCCTTCCAGGTCTTGGTTTTTCTTCATTCCCTCCCCTCCAGGAGTCTCTCCCTTCAGCCCCTTATTTGAGCAAGCTCAGTCTCTCTCCTCCTGCCCTGCCCGACCCTCTCTCCTGTGCTCCCAGTCCTCTCTCCTCACCGACCCCCCTTCTCCAGCTTCCTCAGCCACTGCACGCAGCAACAGCAAACCATCTCCCCATCCCGCAGCAGCCAAACAGCCTGCAACAGCAGCCCAACAGCCTGCAACAGCAGCCCGGCAGGGCCCAGGAGCCACACATCGGCCGCAAGGCTGGTCCTGACTGTCGTGGCTTGTTTTCACGTCCTGAATCAACAGGGAGGGAGGTCAAAACTCTTCTTGGCACAGCGGTTGGCCATGAGATGACAGACTCAGTTTCCTTGTCTTCCATGCAGAGGCTACGAAGAGCATGTCCTTCAGCTGTGTCCCGTCTTTGACCTCATTATGCAGTTTGCATGATACAGCGGGTTTTTTTAAAGCTACATAATAACCTGTTAGTAATTTGTTTCTGCTGTGGGCATCACAAGCATAAAAGAGTTAAGTGGTCATGAGAGTAAGTTTATGCCAGGATGTATGGAAGAGCAGGGGACAGAAATCCAGAATCCCTGTCGTGCATCATGACCTCAAGACAAATTATGCCTTGTGCTTACCCACCCATCAGGAGGAAAAAGCATGTTAATTATTCCTACAGACAATGCTTTAGACAAGATGAGTTATAATAAGAGTTAAGAAGCACGCATCTTATATCTGAACAAAACAAAGCAACACTGCAATTTATATATAATAGGTAATTTTTATTTAAAAAAACATTGCAACTGACAGAGAAAATAAACTCCATGAAATGTGCCATACATTCAAAGAGATGTATTTAAAGTACATATAAAGTAATTGATTTCTTATTCTCTGAGATGATCATTGATACAGACACTTCCTGACAATTAAAGAACAAAAACAAAGTTCTGTAACATTTTGTCCCTAAAGTATCTTGCAAGATGAAGTTCAAGAGTTCCTGGCCAAGAGTCCTGCCTTGCTAAATGCCACATACAGAAGAGAACTTTAGACATGGTTTCACTGGCTTCTCCTCCAGCATTTGCAGCTCTGGTGTGAATGAGACCGGTCTGCAGAGCTCGCTGGTTCAGGTACTGATGACAGGCTCAAGAATCTGCCCAGGGAAGAGTCCCGAAAGGAAAAAACAACAGTTGTTTTATCCTCAGTAATACCTGTAGTTCAAACCCAAAGAGGTGGCCAAATTGTGCACTCCCAGGTGAAGCTATAACATACAGAAGTATATTTCTTAAGAGCCATTTATTTCTTATATCCCCGTTTCATAGAATATTAGAAAAAGACCACCATATACAAAAATCTTATCATTACAAGTTATTAAAAAAAAAACTTCAGACCATTAAAACACACAAGAAGGTGTTTGTTTGCATACAGTAGAAATACAATCCTCATTAAAGCAGCATACCGGAGAAGCCAGTTGTTAAGTAAGTTTTCAATTAAAAAAGACAAAAGCCCAGATGTTCCTGTAACACAACCAGAACATTGGAGAAAAGAGAGGAACAAAACATTCATAGTCTGCCATGCCAGGTACATCGTCTTTGTAAGGTCACTTCAGGCCTAAAAGAGTATGGTATCAAACAAAGAGCGTGGAGTCAGTGCCCGGGCAGAGCGTTTGGTGCCCAGCCCTCGGGAACAGCAGCTCTCCTCAGCTCTGCTTTACTCAGGCAGATCCGACTGGATCTGCCGGGGCAGGAGGGACTTCCCAAGGACACCCTTCCTTCCACCTCCAGCAGTGCCCCCACCAAAGGGCAGGACGGCTTGGCCCCAGAGCAGGACTTCAGCCTGCCGGTTTGGGCCTCAGCCCTC